TAGCCCAAATGTGAACTTTACCGCTGAAAACTAAGTCCCGACAGAGCAATGCCTAGGAAAACATGACACCTTAAAGCTTTACGTTGAAATATTTAAGTTCTTTGTGTTGAATTCGTTGTGTATTGCTTTCTGGTATCATGTAAGTTTTGAAAGACTGTTCTCCTCCAAGGTGAATAGAGGTTTTACAGAAAGCTGTGGACGACTGGAACGGATAAAATTATTTGTTTCCGATGCCTGCAACGAGCCATGGAATTGCAACTTACAAAACAAACGATGACGGAAAAAAAGTTCAGTTGCTATCTGCTCTTACTAAGCGCAACTACGAACAAATGTACGCAAGTCTGGTAAAGAAACACGTTGTAATACATAGATTTTCAGGCTTCATAAAAGAGTGATATGTTTAGCATTAACAACAAATATTTGGTGCACTGCTTCTTTTCGTAATTTATTTAAGAACTTTAATTGTTAACATAGATAGCGAAAGCGTGATTATGACAGAAGCTTTGATAGTTATAAAAGAAAACATAGGGTTCCTCATATTAGAGTAAATAAAAATAAATAAATAATTATGCTTTGAGAGGCTAACCTAGTGTTATGGTACATAAGTTAATCGACTCGTAACACAAACAGGTTGTACACTAATATTCAATTCAATACACAACTGGGGAAACTCCTCTCATGCTCCAATAGGCCAGACTCTTGTAGTGTTCGGCGCATCCGTGACGCCACCACGATTTTGGTTCACAGGAAGCTGGCAGGAGGCAAGAGACGGCTCGTGTCGTTTCGCGTGCTGCACGCGCAGAGCTCCAGTGGGGTTGTGGCACGTGCAGAAGGACCATAGTTCCCTCAACGCGTTGCGTCAGCGGGGGCCAAGTTATGGAACCCGGAGTGCGTCTTCGACTTGTGTGTTTAGCGTCTTATGCTGCCCATACATGAAAGCTGGTCCCGAAGAGGCAACAAATGTCGTCACAAAGCCAGAGTGTCTTGCTGTTTGATGTCGCGATTTTAGCAAATGGTTATAAAATTGCTGGCGAAAAGCATAAGTGAACGCGAGTGCCGCTCCTTTCGCGGTGTCCCAACTTCTGTCTGCCGGAGCTCCCCGTGGACTGTCACACTGGAGAGCCCCCTGCAACCGAACAGGCGTCTGCCATATCCATCACCATTGCTGTGACACCGCCAGGATCGCGGCTTACGACAGCATGACACTTCCATAGGCCTCTTGCGCTGAAGCTTTGAACAAACTTTGGCACCCTTATTTTGGGTAGTACAAGCTCATGTAACTGGGCCTCGCACTACTTCTGGCACAGTGGCTCAGCTCTTTTTTTTTTTTTCTTGGGTGCTGAAGAACAATAAAAGACTTTTGGACATCCGATATCGGCTAGATTTAACGCCACAAGAGAATCGAAAGGGCCAGTTTTATGCCACCACAGCTAGGATACGCGTCTCTTATATCTGCGTGGTGACGTCGGAACACCTGTCGTTCCGACGCTATTTTTTGTTTTTTATTTTTACTTTAGAACACGTGAAACGGCTTCTCTTTGCTTAAGTTCTTAACGTCTTAGCTTAGTCCTGTGCTTCGACGACGTTCGAATTGTTGTTTCTTTGTATTTTCCTCGTGATCTGGCGTTCCACACCAAAGCAGGCACGTTCCTACATGTTTGACAGCCTGAGATGCTCAAGTATGTACTACCGAAAACAAGTCCTAACAAGTACCTTTTCGCAGCGCTTCCTGGGCAACGCAGGAGGGCTGTGGCGTCATCTGGCGCAAATCGAGGGACCAATGTTTGGACGCTGTAAACACACCAGTCGTACAGACGCGTTCCTGGAACCATAGCCAAGCTGACCGTTTCAGATTGGTCTATTGCAACGCAGTTTTAATGCCATACTTTGAAAGTATATGGCCACCAAAAAAGATACCGATTTTCTATCTGTTTTGAGGAACAAATTAAAGAAAACAACCGAGGATCAGTGAGACTGTAAAACGCGGGACTTCCGAATTTCTGAAACTTGCAGCAACCTTCATAATTTATAGCATTTTGTTACAGTTTCACAGGTTTCTTTTGTCCATATCAGTAAATAAACATGCTTAGTTTATTTAAAAAATGCTTTTTTGAGTCAGTCAGCCTGACTATTTTTACATTTTCATATCAATCAATCCAAGTATTAGTAAGATATATTTTAACTTTGGGCTAATGAAAATTACATCAACGAAACGTCGCTCGTGCATTTCTCAGAGAAAACAAGCAAAACTCTGGATTAGGATGCGATAACATATTTTATTAATCAAATGTATTATAATTCTGTTAATCGTTGCTTATTAAATATAACCCAGCTCTCTTGACGAGCTCGTAGGTCTTTCCAAAACGTACAAACGTCGACGACGCTTTTCGGCACAAAGCGATTGAATCCACTGGAGAAAAGTCGCTGGCAACTGGAAACAAATGAGGAGAAATAAAATAAGTGAGTACTTGGCAATACATTATTCAAATGGTATGTCTTATAATTCCGCTATTTTGTTGGATCGTGTTCTATTGGTAGAGTTCACCGCCGAAAGTTTTGAAAGGACATAAGAACCGATATCTCAGTACCTTTCTTTTTTCAGAGAAGATTACTCTCGGGAGTAACTAAGTGTTTAGTGCAGCCTTCTGCACTGGGAACACCAGTCATCAACTTTTCTTTTATTGGTTCAACCAATGAGGAAGGCGACTGGCGTCGTGCTTCAATCGACAAGGCAGTATTGATTGCAAAATAGGTGAACGCCTTTTTAATAATTCAACGATCTGGCTATTAGAGCATAATGCCAAACTGCACTCTTTTTAAGCTGTCCAGATATCTTCGACACGTTTATATTTCCACATACTCTTAAAGGTTTTTTTAAAAAAACGTATTTGCAAAGTTCCGCTGCTCATTTATTTTGGTGCAGGTAGGGTTGTTGATTTAACCTATTTTTGAGCATCATCATCCCAGCATTCGGTTCGCATATAGAAGTGATGAGCCCGTCATCTGCAATGCGAAAAAATATACATCCAGGTCTCTTTTTTTTTCATAAAGAATATAAATAGCCATTTCAATTTCCATATTCTCCTTATGCATATTTTGTTGTAACAATATGGTTGCTCTGGTCATTTGAGTTTTACTTACGACAGTGAAAAGTCGTGCAAATTAGCTACTTTACCTACCCAAATGAGAATAACTCCAAGCAATGCCATGGAACCATTCCTGTAACCGAATGTCTCTGCCAAGTATCCCGCGACAGGCGACGTCGCAATAGCACTGAAAAAAAAAAAAATTGGGATTAATATTACGATACCAGGTTAAAACCTGGACAGTTTTATATTATATATCAAGCAATACGCAATGCTGACAGTTTGTCAACTAAAAGAAGACGACACACGCCTAATGCACAGCTGAACCTGTATAAATAAGTGACTTTGAGTTCTATTATTTTCGTCTACGGTGTTTTGCATGATTACTATTGCTGTTTATTAGAGACATTTCATGCTAATATTTGAAATCGTACATGGTGCTTTGCTTGTTAGAAGAGAAACACAGATGCAGAATACCTTGAGATAGTTGTACAGAAGTTACACAGGCTGCCCTATAACTTTATTTCACGTGCATACCGTGTACAGGACTACTTGATATGTGCTAAGATTTGTCTTCGTGATTAACTTCATGAAGTTTGCATTGTAAATAACTGAAGCCAAACTGATAAAGAGGCTTAATTTCATACAGCGTCAGCAACTTTAGTTGCTAAAGAGTACATAATTACAATACCCGACATATGGTGTTAACGAGTGCTCGTCTTTTTAAAGTTCAAGGACACACAACAGCAATTACAAGCGTAAGAGTACTCACACTGTCATCAGTGAAGAAAACACTACGCTGGATACGAAGCTGATCGTACGAATGGTGTCTGGGTAGCCACGCTTACTGCAAAGTATCACATGTAAAACCCTACTATATGATGTACAACTATTATTAAAAGAGAGACGACACAAATTAATAAAACAGCATGTAATGAAGATGACGCACACAGTATAAAGGTGTTGAAAAGTGGGTTGATGCATGGATATTTAGAAACCAAAGAATGAAACGACGCTAAAATGTGTCTGATGCACTGCTTATGTGCAGGTGTAAACGCCGTGAGATATGCCGCTCATGTGGCCAGAAAAACGAATCAGAAAAACTCATTTTTAGCTAATTGAACAAGATCAACACTTTCTGCAGTAAATCCAGTGGCACAGAAGCACCCTTGCGTGACATGGTGCGGCGATTTTCGCAATATAAACGAGGGGGAACCGGTGTGCGAGAGGAATCAGAAGGTAGCGTGTCTGTTGTTCTGTCTCTAATGTTTCCAGACCGAGAAAATCAGTAAAATGCATGTGTTCGGAAAATTGCCTATATTTTAGCAGTTTAGTTCGACCACAATGTGTCACACTAGCACTCATAACGGCACACTGCACTGCGCCATTTCACAGTAGAAACCATACATTGCTTATGTTTGGGTGACTTATTACACGCAAAACAGAAGCAGGTCGCAGCGGAACGTAAAATGGTCGGTCTATAGAGTCTTTGCCGCACTTGTGACAGAACCAAGTTATTGAAAAGTAATTTTACAACTTCCACTCCCTGAAAATAAAAATTAAGCTGATCATGATGTGTTAAAAAAACAACGCCCGAAGACATGTTACTCGCTCGAACTTACCTTGTTATTTTCTTCTTCTAGGTTTGTTTCCAGGAAGGCATATAAGCACGGCCTAGTTGGTGTATTGTGAAGAAACAACTCGAAAAAGCGATATCCAACCCATACATGTTTTTCTTTTTTTTAGCAGTTGTGCTTGTTTTTTTCGGTTACAAGAGGCTATATATGTGCAAAGGTAGAAATCAGAAACACAATTATACAGCGTAGTGTGCCTCACGATAGCGGTGCTTCAGCTGTATTGTATTGCCGTGCATCTGACTCGTTCAGTGAACACTAAAAGAAATTGTAAAATATATTACCCTGCAACCTTGAGAGCGTGGCTGTAGTGGCAAGCGAATTGAGCCGCCGTTCCTACTCCAATAAAAACCTGGGCCAGGTAGACCATCCAGAAGGTTCTTGTGAAGACAAAATATTGTAGTGTGAACATACAGAGGTACAAATAGGAAGATGTTTATAATCGAGGTGAGGCAGATGAAGAAATATAAAAATAAAGTGTCACAGTCTGCTTCCGAGCTGGTATTCCAGGCTTAATCCGATTTAAGAAAACTGAATAAAGTAGAAACCAATTGGAATTTTAAAAAAAAAACACAAAAAAAAACGAACTTGTAAAGAAAAAAGAAGAAGAAAACAACCCTGGTAAAACTTAGCCAATGGAGCGGGCCCCAAGATCAGCGGCTCTTGTTTAAAATTAACATGTGGCTCTTTTTGTTGCTTACTCCGTACTGTGTTCTTTTATAGTCACCGACAACAACGTTATTCAAACAATGAGCTGGGAAACTGACCCTTGAAACACGAACCGCTCGAGTTCACCGAGACCAAACTGGATACAATAACAGCGCCGCCCTTTCGCGGCGAGTCAAACACAAATTTTGCTTTATATAGCCATGGCGAGACTACATTGCAAGATGGCGCCACCGGCCATTGCGTGACTTAGCGCGACTCGACTGAACCGGTATGTGTAGCCGTGCAGTTTCCGTAGTGAGGGAGAAATTGCAGCGTCGAGATCGCATCTAGTACAGTTCTCGAGTGCGGATTGGAGCCACTTTTTTGTAGCAGGCCCCTATGGCGCAGTTTATCAACTGAGTAGGTCAAGCAACCTTGCCGATAACTTAAGCAGCGCAGGTCTAGCGATTCTCGAGAATAGTATCATCGCTCCGCACCCAATGAGATTATGGCATAATTAGCAGATACGAATCTCAAAGAACAATTCACAAAGCAACAAGCGGAACAATCTCTATGCCACGACCTACGTTTCTTGTGCTTTCAGTAACTACAAAATCTGCAGGCGTCATTATTTTTAACTGTGATTTTTCTTTTGTTAGGCTAAAATTTAGGCCTACATTACTTTTGCAATGCTCTTTATCATAGCGCGAGGGCCCAAATCTGGGGGAAGTCTTTAAAGTAACCGCATAAGACCGCTTGCTAACGCGTCGCGCTTTTCCATAGCTGTGCCTAAAGTTGGTCAAGGCATCGCGCCAAAATTTCACAAACATGCACACCTGAGTAAAAAGCAAAAAAAAAAAAAAGAATAAATAGGGCAATATCTTTTTTATTATTTTTTTATCTACGGCGTTTTTTTGCTAAACGTGTAACCTCTCTCTGGCGCGCAACAACCGACAGATGTCGGCAGCAGTGGCGGATTATGGGAGCTAGGGAGCCTGTATTAGAGTATTTGCAACTGCTCGATCACAGGTCACGTGGTCTATGGGCCGCGATTAAAATACGAGCTGCGAGGGAGGTTCCGAAAGCGTTCATCGTCTGCAAACGTCTCCGTCTTTCAACCTGCTTTCCTCCTCACCACGCAAAAGCGCAGCGCATGCGCGCTTGCGATCAATCTCCGAAGGAGGCGTCCGCCATTAAATTGCAAACACTGCCCATGGTCTCAGATGGACCGCCCTCTCTTCAATCTAGGCTCTCTAAGGATAACTCAGCAACCACCCGGTCGCGCCAAAAACAGACGACGTGTAGCTGAAATTACTCGACGAACCGCCTGTTTTATTTGTTTTGAGTCCATTTATCGTGTTTCATTACGAACGAGAGAGGAATCATGCGCTGTTCATTATTTGCACAAAAAAAAAAAATTGGTTTGCCCTGTGTGTTTATACAGCCTTGATGAAGGACGGGTAATCGGTCTCTTAGCTGTAGATGAGAAATTTAGCCAGTGCAGTACAACCTCTAGCTGGGATTTTTAACGTGCTTCACGCAGTAGTGATAACACGAACGCGCGCCGGTACGAAACTCATCCAGATCGAAACGGGCGGGGGCGGCGGGGATCGAACCCAGGAGGTTCCCAGCGCAAGCTTTCGCTCCACGCTCCGAGTTGGGACGCGTTAGCCCGCTCGGCCAATTCCTCCCCTTATTTCCACCAAAAAAGCGCGCGCCCTTTAGGATCGGAAAAAGTTGTCTGCTTTTAGCGCAACCGGCCGGCTGCTCAGCTGCTGTAACCCGCCGGGGCCGCTACCGCTATCTGCTGGTTGTTGCGAAAGTCAGAGGCTGCGCCTTGAGCAGACGCGGGCCGTAGGTAGAAATTAAATGTTTTTTTTTTTTTATTTTATTTTATTGATGTAAGTTCGCAAAATACATTATATGGAAGACTGGGCACCTCCCAACAATACGAAGCAAACGAAAAAGAAAACGTTACAAATACTCTGTATGGAAATTATTTACGGGAAAGTGCCACTCGTAGAATCCTCCACTAACTTTCACGGGCGAAACATCACACGCCAAATTTAGCGGCCACTGGTCACGGTATTTTATCACCGTAGCGGTGGTGACGGGACTCTACACGCTTAGAGAAAAGGCTCTGAAAAAGCTTAGGAAAAGGCTCTGAAAAAGTGTCCCCAATCTGTGCTCAAGCACCGAGCTAATGGCAAACACAACGCCGCCACTTCTCCCGCAGCGGCCGCTGAAGGCACTGCACGTGAAGTCTATTTTGGCTTCAATCGGCCATTTTGGCGCCGAAACAGATACAGCGGAAGAGGTTACAAGGGTACCACCCCCGTCTCCCCAGCGGACTGCCGCGTCTTACTACCCAAGTTAAAATGCACCTAGGTCGGGACGCGCTACCTGAAAGCACCGCTGATGTGTGGTTGTATAAAAACAATATTAATTGTGCCGCAAAACCTTGAGAACTAAAGATTTTAGAAAACATCACGCGCCCTTCATTTTGTATTAAGCTCCAACAAATTTCATACAAAAAAAAGTCTTTTCCGTTTGTTTTTACGCAAAAATATGCTTTCTAAAAGCTCAAGGTGACCACAGTACAGACAAATGATAAAGAGTGGCGCTGTTGCCGTATTTAGCTCGGTCTCGGTGGACGCCAGCGGCTCAGATTTCGACGGCGAGTTTCCCAACTGAGTGTTTTGGTAACGTTGGGCGGCCCTGAATCGAGAAAATTGAGCTCAATAAGGCTTAACGAGGACGCCACCTCTCTTGTACGGGACGAGAGGAGCAGCAAATAAAAGCGTAACACGAGCTTTCCGCGAACTGTGTTTATTTCCGAAGCCAGATTCCCCCCGCACGTTCAGAAACTTGCGTTTTGAAAGCAGTTGCTCAGTCTTCTCGTCGTCAGCACTGCGATGTTAAACGGACACAACCGATACCCAGTTACTTCGCGCACTTTACGGCTTACCTTTGCTGTTCCTCGGATCACAATTCCTTCGTCAACCGCACATTACGGAGGAATGGCAAACCAATCCGCCAAACCAAAAGCCGCTTTCAAAAGAACAAACTCGAAGCCGCTGCTCATCGCGTAGGGTGAAAGAAGGTTAAATCGCTTGCCACCAGATGACAGGGTCTTGCACAGTAATTGCAAGTAGCTAGGCTAGGTGGCGCTAGGTACCGCCCAATTCATGTTCACAAAAACTATTTTTATCTCCTCAGGCTACCTTTACGCATCGAGTTAACATACATTACACAAGTAGACATATTTGGCAGACTTAGCATCAGGTTAACATACGTTGAGCGTATACACATACATGCATATACAAACATCAATACAACGGCACATTAACCTGAACACTACACTCGAGCTCTGCGTTTCCGTGTTTTATTCTGGTCGTTTTAAACGTACGGGATTTCTCGGGGACTCCCTAAGCAATAAAAAATATTCCCAGTACGTCTATTTTTTTCCATCAATGTCATACTTCTGAGAGTATTTTGAATGGCTCAGGGGATCAATCTCTTATTAAAAATTAAACGTTCGATCCGGGCGTAATTATTTGAAAGCTAATAAATTAAGCCGCTCCAATGCGGTTTAAAGCCATGAGTCTGTTTCTCCGCACGGCACGTCGTAGCCTGTATTTCTATTGTAGTGTTTGTTTGTCTATTTGTGCTGTTCGCGCACGGCTGCAATTGCCGTCTTGAATTAATATCTGTAGAGCGGATATTCACTCAGCTGGAAGTGATGCTTCACGGGCAGAGAAATCGCTTTTCGATCAACTTGATTGCAGTCAAAGCCGCGATTTACGGCAGGTGTTAAGTGCACGGAGATACGCCCTGGCAATCTCGAAAACGTCTAGCGCTCATCCCAGCGCGCCACTTGGAGGGCAGTTTCTCCAGGAACCTAGTATATTTAAACGGCAAAATAAAGAATAGCTTCTCTTCTTCTTTTTTTTTTCGATTTTACCTACTATTTTTTTAAATGCTAAAATTCCACACTGTAAATTATGTAACTTCCGTCATAATTTCGTACTGTTCAGTCTGTCCCCAGAGCGCAATCGCTCTCGGGGTGGAGACAACCGACAGTCACATTGGCCGCTGTACGATAGGAGCTTACTCTTCGACCACCGTTCCAACATGACTATCCGCACGTTGATCGATTGCACCTAATCCCTCAAGTGGTCTTAAACTTTTTAATGTAAAGTGGAATGTCAGCCTGCGACACCCTGCCGCCTTCGATCACGGCCCGACCAGCGGCATCAATGCCCGACAGTTTACGTCATCCCATCTTGTTGTTACACCGCTGATACGCGAACACACGGTCACATCGGCGATAATTCCAGTCTTCTGTGCACAAGGCACATCACTGCCATCACGATGTTGCAGCTATGTTGCTGACACGCACAAACACAGAACCACGTTGAACGCCGGTTGCACTCGGCATCGGAAAACAGAACCGAACTCAGCACGGAAGGCACCCAGGCAGCCGGCAGCAAAACCTGCCTGTCTTGGACGCAGTTCCTGCGATTTCCATAACGTCGAAAACGTCGACACAGTTCCGCGTGGTTCCGCTACTTTAGTTCCGCGTGGGTCCCGGAATCCGGAGACGCCGGAGACGGCGCTCTTACGAGTCTTACCCAGTGTACGTAGCGCTGCTTGCACTGGTCCGGAATTTTGCTGTTTCTAGCGGCTTCGTTTGCTCGTTTGATAAAATTAGTGATAAAAACGTCAATGAAACCGAAATGTTCTGAACGTTTGGACTAGAAGACGGAATTACAGGCGGCCTTCGCTGCCGCTGAAGCTCGATCAACTCAACAACATTTATTAATCAACATGCGGGACGTGCTCGAAAAACGAAACCAAAAGAAGATGAGTCGGAGGGAGAGAGCTTTCTTCCGTCTGCCTGGAGAAGGACAAAACGTTTCGTTCCTCCAGGTTTCTCGTGACCGCTTGGGGGCGCGTCAGTAAAAGGGAGGAAGACGCGCCGTTGCTACATTTTTTCTTCCATTTTTTCTTAGAGTGTACCGTGGTCCCTTGATAGGGTCTCGTGACCATTGCCTGCTATACGGAGAGCAAGTCGCCTTTCTTGCGCACAAGTTGTAATGCAGTCTAAACGACTCCGAGCCCTGATTGGCTTTGATTGAAAAGATTATGGGAAATCCTCAATGCTGTAGATTCATTGAGGTCTACCGACTATTTTTTTTTTAATTAACCAAAAAGAGCTCGGCGTTCTGACATCATTGGAACTCCTGTGCAAGAAGCAGACGAAATTGCGCTCCGCATAGTTGGCGGGTAATGTGGTTCCTCCGAATGTTTCGGATTTCGTTGACTTCCTACTTCTTGGCTTTTGACGGCTATTGCAATAGTGACCTGCACAGCAGCGCTCCCTCACTGGTGGCAGCTCACTCCCAATGACTGGCATAAGCGATCGTTTTACTATAGCGACCACTAATCATGTTGTCTTTGGAGGTCAAGGTAGGAATCTCGGTACACATATGATTCCACATAAATATACTAACCCCAAATGAAATCATATTCTATGTACGCGTCTGGAACGACCAAAGCGCAATCTTTTTTTTTTTAACATTGTCTGTGTAATACTCCGTCAGGATGAATAACTTTTATTATATTTTTATATATTTTAGCAGATTTAGCAGATTATTAGTCTAGTGCCGCTCGTCGACATGCGAACGAATTGCTAATATTGAGAATAAGAGAATCCAGACGAAAAACTAATTTTATTGGAATACGAATCTGTTCAGCGTCATCGAGGTAGCAGTAGTGACTGAATTAACGTTTGTAAAAGAAATACCGAAACATTCCCAAAAGAAGTGAAGAAAATTTCCTTCGGGGCACAACTATCACTGATTAATTTGAATGTAAGCATATTCCGCGGAGATCTGTCGGGTTAGGAAATAAAAAGAATAAGTGAAAAAATTTGAAACTCTAATCACGTATGAATAAAAAGAAGAAAGATACCCTACGTTCCGGGACCAGCTCGGTCCCTTGGTCACGAGTGACTATGGGTTGTGCGAATCCACTTCGTCCTCTTCATTGGTGGTCACTGCCTTTTTCAGACGTGCCATGCCTGTAAGCTCAACGGAAGAATCTTTCCGAAAAGAGCTGTGCAAGATCAAGGCCGATATTCAAAACAACGGCTATACTATAAGATTTATCAACGGAGCATACAAAAGCTGCACCGTCCCCGTCTCTCCGCGGCCCGGCCCCTTCGAGCCGTATTTGCCTGCCATACATAAAGAATTTCAGCTAGACCATCGAAATACGTTCGCAAATACGGAATAGCGGTCACTCACAGACCAGTGACAACCATTCGTCACCGACTCCCCCTTCCCAAAGACCGGCCGGGAAAGGAGAAGGCTCAAGGTCTCGTCTACCGCATCTCATGCGCGGACTGCCCTCCTGCCTACGTGCGAGAAACAAAGAACTTCCCGGAACGCATCCGCCGCCGCAAATACGACGTGAAGAAGGACGACGTCCAAGCCAGTGCCCTCGCTGAACACGCCGAAAAACTGGTTCGCAGCGTGTACTTCGACAAGAGCGAGATTCTGGCCACGGAAAAACACAAGCGTAGACGTCTGCACCTGGAGTCCTAATATATCCGAACAAAAAAAAAAAAGAAAACACAAACAAAAAACGTCATTAGATTATCGGGCACCCTCCCAAGCGCATACGTCTCAGAGCTTCGTCGCTTCACGGAAAAACACGGGCCCAAGCTTTCGAACCGGGTTCCAGCGCTGGATATTCTTGATGAAGATGAAGTTGAAGATTATTGAGATGATATAGATGAAACCGACAGCGCAGATTCACCCAACCCACAGTTACCCCTGATCAAGGGACCGAGCTGGTCCCGAAACGTAGGGTATATTTTTTTAAATTCAAACTTGGTTAGAGTTTTCATTTTTTTTTTCAGTCAGTCTGTAATTGATTCGTTGAAAGGAAAATCACCACGAGACAGCTGCTTTGTAAAGCTGCTCCGAGCGTTTAGGAAAGGTGCTATTTTAATTTTAAAATATCACAGCCACAACACTCGCAAAATTATATTTTGATAGAGCTTTTTTGTAATTTGTTTTAAAGCTGCTTGGTCTGCCATTGATTTGCATTACTTTAAGACTAAACTAAAAATAAAACAATCATAGACGATCAGTGCACATCTTTGCTAAAAACAATGGAGGCAAATTCATAATATTTTTAAATTTGGGCTGAAGACTGTGAGATGTGGCTATTAGGAGTATTTACGTATCGTCCTGATACAAACAGTGCAGTTGCTTTCTTTCTAAACAAATATACATTCGTGATCTTTACTGGGTATAGCGCATGCAATATGGAGAGCAAACATTTTATGAAAGGCTTTCAATTCGAACTTACGGTTCGCATGAAATAAAAGGTGCAGGTCCCAAGATGAGGTAGGCGATGATGGTTAAAACGTGACCAAAGAATCCGAAAAATGTTTCCATCTGGACATGCCAATGCAGAATTAATAAAATAATGTTTGCGGCTGCTGCATTAAACAAAAGTATTTATGTTTCGCACCTTCAGACTGCACAAAATCGCAGATGAAAGAGAGCCAATGGTGTAGCTGGCATATTGCACCATAAAAACGACGCCCACTTGTGTACTGTCCATCTTGAACTGCAAGAACATGATTTGTTAAAAGAAACAGAGTAATAATACACGTAAAAATAAACAAATCACATTCTTATTACACTTTAAGAAATGCCTGCACGTCTACTTACCCACAAGACCCTCGAAGAGTCAATCTCTGCGATCTACGAAACGAACTCAGCGAATGATGAGGCAGAACATCTGTTTACACACTCTCAAGAAAAAAGGGTATCAAAAGGTGTATTCTTACACCCTTTGTCCCATATAATACACCCCCAAACTTCAATTAGACATACAACGCCCTACAGTCGAACAGACGGACGGAAATTTTAAAAAATTTTACATGACGCTTGCATGTATTATAAATACATGCAAGCGTTATGCTTGCATCGCTACGCAATGCAAGCATGGCGCTTCCCTATAGCAAAGTCCATCAAGATACGTAATTCCATCAAGATACGTAATTTCATCAACAAGGGCAGCATTTATATAAGAGTAAAGCTATACGCACTCATAAATATTGCCAAATGCCTCGATAAAACAAAATGTTCGAGAAAAAAAGCAAAAAAAAAGTAGGACTACCGCGGATCGAACCGGCACCACTTGCCTACAAATCGGACACCCTAACCCCTATGCTACGCCACTGCTTAGAAAACTTGATTTCACCACTCGTTTTATCCGAGATGCCTCGGTTGCAAATGCAGTTAAGCCTTCAGCATGTTATGCAAAGCACTCGTACATCACTCGCCGTACTTCAGTTCTACTCACCTGCCATGTAGAGTACTTTCGCGCCGTAGAACGATCCTTTTGTTCGCGCGTCTCCAGCCCAGTAGACCTGGTACACCTTGTCGTCTTAAACTACACCGCTAAAGTCCCTTACATCGTCGGAACTCGCAACAGGGTGGGTCTTGTCGAGTAGAAATTCTACTAAAACATAAAACATTGTAGAGCCCGGGCAGGATCGACAGGTTGGAGCAAGCGGGCAAACAAAACGAGTCGAGAGCGATCGTTCATGAAAGCTCGACGAAGCCTCTATGGGCGAAGCGAAGTGGCGTTTTCGGCGTTTCGGCGGGCTTCTGATCAAGGTTGTCGGTCGGCTGCGTGTCACATCTCTAACATCTGCAGTTTTATGGGCTCACGTCCCGAAATCGTTTTCTTCTGCATAGAATATTTTTCGTATTCATAGATTTGACGAAATAGTGGTACCCGAACGAACTTTACGTCCTTCGACCATACGTCTGTCTGCACGTCAAAGCTTTTTGACGTACAGTCAGAGCCAATCGATGTACAATCAGAATCGCCACCAAGACATCTTGATGGCATTTCGCGGCGGCCGACTGCCACCAGGAAACCATCAGAAAGCCGACAAGTGGAGTCTGACTGGAGTTTGACTGTCGGTCAGAGATCAGACATGTTTGACGTACAGTCAGGCACAGTCAGCGGTCCACTAGAAAACATTGACGGCCAAACAGGGTTACACTGATGGATTTTTCCTTCGGGTTTGCACTGCGCAAGGCCACAGCGCAGACTTCACTTTTAGTTTTAAACGGATATTCCGCCTCATCATTCGGTCTGCTGATTTCGAAGATCGCAGAGATTGGCTCGTCGGGGGTTTTGTGGGTAAGTAGACGCGCAGGCATTCCTTAGAGTGTAGTAGATTGTCGAGCGCATTATGCTATACGTTAAAGTGAATCTCCAAATAACCTGTATTGATTTGCGCCGATCCTGAGCGTTTTTCGTAAAACTCACCTTTACACAAAATGTATAAAATCAGTGCGTGATATTATTCACTGGTATAGCCGTAATAAGGACAAACATTTAATTTTAAAAAGAATGAGCATTTCGGTTTTTAAGCTATAAAATATCAGACAAAAAAGCCCCGATGCAAACATGTTGGTGAAAGTCAAACATGATCACTTTAGCGAAGATGTTTTTCAGACATCTTTACGTGTGTGTTTTCCTTAAGAAAACCCCTGTCTCCGTTAAAGCTAGCGTCTGTACTTGCATCAAAAAAAAAAGGAAGAAAATCGCAAAAAATCACTATGGGCCCTGTTAATCGTGACATGAATTTGCTTTACAGAAATATGTTCTTAGTACATTTAGAACACACTTTATTGTTACATGCATCACAGCGTTTTTTTTTCAATGAGAAAATTGATGTAGGCCTTTCATACGCTACGCTTTATCAGGGTGCGTGCCCTCAAAAAACGTTATGATATATATTTGGTTTACAGTACCTGTGTGGCCAAATAAGGCTGAAGAGTCGGTTCATTGAAGGCCATGATGACCCAACTTAACATCATCGATCCAATATCAACTGCAAATGCCGGATTCAGCAGCAACCTGTAGTAACTTGCCTGCTGCGACTGAGATTCCTCCAACATAGGCCCCTCGCACTTGGCTAAAACACAGATCACAGAGGCAGCATAAACAGAGAACGTCGGTAGCTAACCTTGAATAGGCTAATGCTAACAAGCGTTTCGGACAGATATATATGAAAAAATGGGCTAGGCAAGAAGCTGGTGGGTGTTCCTTTACGTGACATATCTGCAAGAACGTCAGAAGTCGAAACATTCAGAAATATACAAGAAAAAAATAACTATTTTTTACTTATCTATATTCGGAATCAAACCATGAAAAGTGTCTCTCAAAGTCTTTTATCATCATTATCATTCATTATCATGCCTTGATTTATTTAGGGCCCATAAGACGTTATTCCAGGGAAACGAATGGATACATTAAATAGAATCCCAGTAGAAAAACAGAAGAGCAATAAAAACTGTGTGCTTTCTGGTAAAAATATTTACTCGGAAAACCCTAAAACTGGGATATTAAAAAAAAAAAAAAAAAAAACACACACACACCTGTAGATTACATTGTTTGTAACCCAGTATTTTCAACCACCTATTCTAGATTCGAAGTCCTAAGACCGGATTTAAATTTTAATATTAAACGGATGTGTGATTATTATTGGTGGGAGACAGTCGTATCGTTTAAAAAGCCGAATTTCCCCCCCCCCCCCCACAAAAAAAAAAAGGAAAGAGTAATTAGTGGCTTTTCAAGCGCTTTATATGAAGCATTGAGCAAAAGGATATATGACACATGATTTTTTTATTGGTTTATTGTTATTGAGTGGCAACACTCATTGCTGGTGAGAGTTGACTGGGGAGTCAGATGAGTTCAACTTAACACGTTCCCCAGTGATACACGCGCCGTCCGAATCCGAAATCCAATTCGCATCGCAAGAACCGCGAAACAGCGAAAAAGTCCCAGCGAAATGGCAAAACTTACAACCCCCCCCCCCCTTTTTTTTGTTTTTCTTGACGCAAGCAACCGCGCGTTGCTATGTGTGAGGGCGGCAGCGTCCATCTCCACGAGCAGCCATTCCGGCGCGAGTGCCGTTGCTAGGGTGTCTAACGCCTGCGCCCCAAAACAAATATGCTGCCGGGTGATGGTGCTTGACGTCCGAATATGTTCCAATAGCGAATGGAGACAAAGGATTTGCGTCTACCCATTGATTATTCCAACCAGAGCTCTGTCATCTCTTCCTCTCCTCCAGTTTCTACCCACATCGGCAGTGAACCGTTTTAAATGTGTTGGAACGCTGAGAGATGAGGATTATTACATTCCGCGACAAAAAAACGTACGCTTAATTGACTGGACTATATGGTAAATAGAAATCGTAAGACTTACTCTTTTTTTCTTCCCCTGGAATTTTTTTTCTTGTAGCGATAAGAGGGATCACGACCAGCCCAATTGATCCAAGAACGAAGAACGGTAAAGGATATGCCCATAGCTGCAAAAATACGCCGGTAGAGGAGATATATGCTTGAGTACAACAAAGGGTACTTCAGCTGTTTCGCTCAGAAGAAACCTCTGAAGTGTATATTGAGCACAGCATTATTCGTGGTTCCAACTTTCTGTTTGCGTAATCATACTTTTGTGGCTTTCATATATAATATTAAAATATACTGCGTCTGGATTTTCATACGTGGCCCATTTCGTCATTTTTCTGCAAATGTAATCCATAAGCCGGGAGACGTCATAAAGAAAATAAGAACACCGACCTTTCATAACAGACAAATTTATTGCCGTTTTAAATCGAAATAAATCTGTCGAGAGCGTCGTAATACCACCACAATTATACTACGTTTTTGTGGCGCCATCTACCCCCTAGACGACAAAACCAACCCATCTCCGTTGCTACCGCCGTGGCTAAGCCTGTTCGTTCGATGAACTAAGTAAGATGTCTGCGCTTGCTTTTTTTTTTTTCTTCTGGATTTTGACCACCCGCTTTGAGAATCAGTGATGTTGACCGGGTGCCGTGTGCTGTTGTGCAAAAAGCAGAGCATAAAAAGTCGACAATCTGAGAGGGGACGCGGAGGTCACTGAAGATAAAAGCCGACCGTAAACTCCCTGTTCCCCTTTATGACGTCGCTGTGCACGCGTCTCAGAAGGCCGTGTAAGCCTCGAAGGGAACCATAAAATTAAATTTGTTTCCTTTTTTCCTGTGACAACGAACGCATGCAAGTAGAAATGGTTTCTGCTCTTAATCTAAACGCGACAGAGACTCACTCGCACGACTATTCGTTCAAAGCTCCAAAATCGTGGCACTGCCCCCTCAAAAGTGATGAGCGCTTTAACGCCCTTTGAGATATTCACAAGCTCGGTTCAACGCGGACGTACTACCTTAAACTTTCCTCCCCCCTCTCATACCTCCGGACTTGAGAATGTGAGAAAAAGCCCAACACTCTCGAGATCTCCTGTATATTCATACCGCATCGAAATACACTTGAATCGCTGATCATTGGCGTTCCTCCAATCATCATATTTAATAAGAAAGGCAATCGTTATCAACCTTCGCTGGCGATAAGGTTTCCGTTGAAATATATGGGGACACTTATGTGTCGCCTAAGCTGCATGACCATCGTGGAGCGATATCGCTCCTGCGTTTGACAAATTTGTAATACGATTCTTTGATTTATATCTGATTTACTAAATACTTCTGTTTCGAGTGCATCACGGAAGAGTATACATTGAGGAGCCTATAGGGGCGTAGTCTTAGTGAAGCGGTCGCAGTTGGGTTGGGAATGACATTAGCCGTAACTCGTCGTGTTGCTTAGACTATTTGATGGTAACCCTAAGTTAATGATCTCACCTTTACCAGCGCTCCACCACTGACTGATCCAAGCATATGGCCGATACCCCACATTAAGTCGATAGTAGACTTGAATATGAAAACAGAGCAAAGATGCAAGATTCAGGATAGTTAATTCAACTACAATTTACATGTAAGCTTAATTATAAGGTACATCGTATTAACGTTCAATGTTGTATACATAAAAAATGCAAGGTGTGGCGGTTTGAAAACTCCTCCAGCACTAAACGCATTTCTGGCCTTTGTTGCTTAGAGAGTTTTGCACACTATCTGGTGTGAGGTACACACCAAAGAACAGTATAAATAAAATACTACAATCCTTGAAAGGTTAGCCAATTTTTGGTCTCTATAACATAAAACGAACTCTAAAGACTAACATAAACTGTTCAGGTATCTTCAAGTGGTGTGACCCAGAGATTAGAAAACACAAAAATAAACGTAACATGTGGATGCCTCCTGAAGACAGTAAGCGTTATCTTTTATGTATACCACCGTGTTCTATAATCTAGCGGTGTCGTTAAGCGGTGTCATTAAAAGTTATTTTGCTCGGACAGACGGGGGAAAGGACCCGACGATGGCTGGATTGAGGCCGCAGAACATGGTGCTTGAGGTTAAACTTACATATTTTTTCCCACATCGTGTTTTGAATACGATACTGAGAAGCGGGCGATATGCTCACTTCCCTACCCCGCCAAACCAGGGGGTAGGAAAACAAGGAAGGCGGACGAAATATGAAGTTGAGTATTTCACCAATTTAGTGGGCGTCCTCGGTTTCCGAAATGTTATATTTACCTATTTCTGCTTATCCTTTTATATTTATATTTGGGAATTATTGTAGAATGAGGAGATGCATATATATATATATATATATATATATATATATATATATATATATATATATATATATATATATATATATATATATATACAAAACTACGAACCGATAAGCCAAAATATATACAAACATATAAACGCCAATATACAGTCATTAAGAAAACTTCTCTATTAGGCAAAAAATTAATATCACAGTAAAAACCTATAGGTACTTTTTTAACAATGAATTAAAAAGAGATCATTTGAAAGCATTGAAACACGATTAGAGGGTAATTTCTTTTCACTTACATCTTTGTTTCAGCCGCACCATTCTAGCTACAAATATCAAAGATCTCCCTCGTTAGCGATACCATTGCATATTGAATTGGACGGCACACTCTCAGTCCCGATTTGGAGAGATGCGCAAAAGAAAGAGGGCTATATTTTGTTGCGTCACTTACAATAATCATTCCGGTATTTTCTGAGCAGGCTGCCGCACCGGCTGTGTACAGGCTGACGGCGTAAATCCCATCCATGAAGCCGCCAAATGTGGCCACTACTAATGATGTGCCCAACAAGATTTCGCCAGACTGGCTCCAATAGACGAACCTTTAATGATAGATCCACACCTCTGAACGTAGCTATGTTAAAACATATCACGCGTATAACACATCACAAAACACTTCACAAAAAAAAACTTATATGTGGCAAAAAAAAAAAAAAAACGTATTAAAACCTCTTATTTACGCAGAAATATTAAGGACAGTTTATGAGGTTATTTTTCTGTCAAACCCCTAAAGAGCATGCATATTTTGACAAACAATACTAGATAACTGCAATAATACTCAAAAAAACAAGCGAGCTGGTGATGATTCATGGTAATAAAACCCGAGACTCAGGAACACAGAAGGGGAGGAACACAACACAACAATACTAGATCCTAGCGAATCGCGAAGATCAGAATAAGGTTATACAATAAATTTTGAGATGTGCGAAGAGACATTGGGCGAGTGAAACGCCGCACTCATTTTCCCTGCGTACATCGAATGTTTTGCTTTGAGAGTATTCTGAGCTTCATCATTCGCTGGCATCCTGGTATAGCTTTCCGTGATTCGCTGTCCTGTGTCCTGCAGGAACGATAACTCAGATATCTCTTTTTTGGAGTGGAAGTTGCCAGCTGGCGTTTAGTTAGCAGGCATACTTCAAGGCCTTGAAGTAAGTGGGTGTTTTAGCAAAACGACCGTTGCCACACTCAGGCATTCATGAGGTTTTTTTTTTTTTTTCAGGTCCGCTAGAGAACATCGTGTCAGTTGACACTTTGTGTACCTTTTACGTTTGCACGGGTGCAAACAGAGTAAATCTTTGAGTCGTGCCCGAGCAAGTCCAAGCCCATGCGATTCAGATTTTCACAAG